TATTTGTTTATTTTATTTCTTTTTCTTTTCTCTTAACCCTGGCATATTTGTTCTGTTCATGTCTGTCACTGCTTGTTTTGTACAAGAATTGAAATAAGGTGTTGGAAAAAAAAACTCATCACGTCTTTTTATCGACGACTACTGATGACATATATTTCTTCTTCTTTGAACTGACAGACTGGACGGAGTTTTGGCATATTGATGCCCCAGACAGTCTTAAGAAATATTTGCCTTTAAGGGGTGTCCCATTTTAAAGTCACAAGATAGCCCTTAACACTTGGTTTTGAGGGCTAGTGAGATTGAGGGTTGAGCTTGAGAATTAAGATAGGAATTGGGATTGGGCCAAAATGTTCCTTTTCCAAGCCCTTCACACGTGACCTGACACAGTTTTCTACATTTGTTGTTACATTCAAACCCTTACGCTAATGTGGACGTCACATTAGTTCAGTTTGGAAAGTCAAATACTAAAATGCTAAAATATGTTTTGTTGCTGCCCCCCATCACAGCCACCTGACTCCATTGACAGAAAGTCAATATAAATCAAACTCAAGAAGTTCAACCACACTGAGCAGGCTTTTCATCCACCAATACAAAACAAAATGATCAGCGTATATTTACAGTAAAGCTTACCCCTGCAGTGTGATGAAGGCATCCACTGACGCTGCTCCTGAGGAGTGGATGAGGCATGGCTATGAGTGTATCCAGCAACACCAGCTAACTCCACATTCCCTCCTTCAAAAGTAGCTTGAGATGTACTTACACGTTGTCCACATGATGGCAGACTAATGGGCAGATCTTGAAGTCCGTTTGGTAAACCCTGATTGGTTAATGGAGGTTGAAATGATGCCTTGTAAGGGTTGTTGGGCGAGACAAGCGGTACATGTTGGGGCCTACAAGGCTGTGGAGCAGGGTTTGTTTGGGGTAGAGATGGTGGGGGGATGTTTTTTCCTTGGTTTGAAGTTAGCAGCAATGATGACGTGTGAGGGCTTTGCTGGGCAAAGGATATAATGTGAGAGGCAGATGGGATGGCAGTATCACCAAAGAGCGTGGTGGACACCTGATTGCTGCTCATGTGAGAGGCTTTGTACAGAGCAGAGTGATGAGTGTTGTTTCTGGACGATAAGGCGCTGAGGTCGTTCAAACAGCTCTGATTGGACTCTTGCATGTGGTCGTAGGAGGGTCTCTGGTCAGATGACGAGCCCAGGCTGAGATGCTGAGAGCTGGGCAGTGGGTTGAGAAGTGCTCCTTGAGTTGAGGCAGTGGACCAGCCATTCTGTCCTGCCCACGACTGACAAGGCAGGTGGCTCTTACTTGCTGTCAGGTTATCCATAATTCTCCATAACCATCAAAGTTTGTTGCTTGCAGTCTTTTGTTTCCCTTGAGACAGGTCCTAGCAGAGCAAAACAACATGCACACGTGATCATCAGAGTCACAACTGTAAATCTGCTTTCACTGTCCTGACATCGTGCTCACTGTGTAAGGCAATGTCTTCACATTGAGGTTGCTGAGGTGACAGAATGTGAAATGGGTTACATTTCACCAGTGATTGTCAGGACTACTGTACTATTTTGGGCTGCAATTAATCTGCTGATCATTTTTAT